TCAAAAACAAACAAACAAACAAAAACAAAACAAATTAATCAACAAATCAACATATCAAATTGAGAAGAAAAACTTCTAAAACTCGATCAACAATCACAAATCTCAATGAAAAGAATACATGTGTTCAACAACACTCATACACACAAATATATATATATATATATATACATACATTCAAAACTCAAATCTGTGTTTAAAAAAATATGTATAACCAAACAACTCCACCAAACATGCCTCAATTTAGAGACGATCTGTTTCTCCTAGTAGACGATCTCCTTCGATTCCGGCACCGGAGGACAACTTTCTGGCCCGTAGTTGATTTCGTTCCCGATGTTCTTGATGAGTTCATCGTAGAGATCGGTTTCGGCATTGTTGATCGCCGGAGTTTCGCCTAATAACTGACCGGACTTGGCTAGGAGAGTGATGACGATGACGTTGTTATCATCCCCGGAGAAGAAGAAGTTACCAAAATTGTCAAGAAACAGCGCTTTAGATCTGGAAGGGAATCATCATAGTCGTCGTTGCTATCATCGCTGGAGAAGAATCTAGAAGTTTCTGACGGTAATCTAATCATGTCACGGTCATCGACGGCGATCGTAGCTGAGCTTCTAGATCTGAAGCTTGAAGGAGTTAGAGAAGGGGGAGAGGAAGGAGAGAGACAGAGAAGGTGGGGAGAGAGTGGGTGGAGAAGGTGGAAAAATTTAGTTAAGGGTATAATAGTCTAATAAAATATTTAAATAATAAATTTTGTCCTTTATGCAAGACTTTATAATTATGAGGAGGTTTAGAAAATATAATTTTTTTCTTAGTTCTTTTAACAATGAAAGGAAGGTAAAGAGGGTTTATAGCCAAATTTCCCATAAAAGAACTCCCCAAGCCCCAATTGGAAAAACAAGTTGGAAAAACAAAAAGCATCCTTGTCAAAATTTCATATGTATATTATCAAGGTACTGGAGCAGATTGGGAAGCAAACTGAACCCAGCCAAATTCCTCTTTATAAGCCCCGGTTCCCTCGCAAGAGGCTTCACATGCACAGACAACAATAGTTGCCCAATCAAGAGAATTCACATAATTTTTCACGCCAAAATAATAAAGCAACTGTGGCAAAATCTGGAATCATAAAAAATCCAAACATAAGCAAAAAGGTTTCAATGGAAGATCAGATTTTATTAAATGTTGAAGAAGAAAAATTTCCACACCTGAAATTCGAAACCTTGGGGACCACCACAATAACTGCATTTTGTAATATCAGTCTTCGATGGCCGGCCACTAGAAATGGGCCACAAGGGTTTAGCTCTTTCATAATACGTGCAGTACCTGTTATATTCAAAGAAATAAATGACTTAATCAATTAATAATACATACAATTTATTCTCTCTCTATCAATGTATTTAACACCTGCAATACCTGTTATATTCAAAGAAATAAATGACTTAACAACCAACCAGATGAATATTATAGTCCAGTCAATGAGTGGAAGAGGGGGAAAATTAAAAATGATTAATGACTCCAACATGTGACTTGGCTAATATATATATATATATATATATATTTTAGATTTGCCTTGGCTAATAATTAAATTTAAAAAATGTCCCACCTCAAATTCACACTGCCAAAATCATGGGTGGTTAGTCAACAAGGCCAGTGCTAGCAAAAGAAAATTTCAAAGTACTCTTTAAATTACATATTTCCATATTATAGACAGGGCAGACTATCCTTCAATTAGTAATGTGATGCATATATATTACATAACGGCTTGAGCAACAAATTTTTTATTTTTTATTTTTTATTTTTTTCCCAACCAGAGACGTATATGTTTCACCAGTGTAAGAACTGCGGTTAATTGGCCTACAAGGCCAACAGTGGTAAAGAAAATTTCAAGGAAATTCAAAGTTTTCCTAAATCATGCAGCCTAAAGACCTACGGTGGTCAGCCAACGGCAATGTAACCAACAAAAAGTTTCAAAGTCTTTTTTGCTGCTCTTATTTATTTTTCTTGACTACAACTGATCAAAATATATATAAACAAGACATCTACTTTAGAAATGATTTTCCCCATGAAGGCAAGAGGTCACAAATTTTCCACTAGATCTTATATTGTTTCCCAAAATCGTGTCGGCTTTCAATTTGTTTATTTTTATTTCACATGCGATATGGTGCAAAAGCTCATAAAACAGAACGATTTGCATTCTCATATTAGAGGTAAGAAATCACCTCAAAACTTGTTCAGGTGCCCTGGCTATGCGTTCTTGGAAGGAGGCCCAACTCTTTCTGTCACCATCACCCTGTTTACCAGCAATGAGACAGAACCTGTGCATTAGATAAAATTCCGACATCATTTATATAGCAATCCATACCTCAAAATTGGCTAGCAAATGAATTGACGGTTTCATTTTTTCGGCTCCCTGAAACCAATGAATTAGCATATCCATTATCTTTAGACATTTGTGTGTCAAATTCACATTCGTCTTCGTTTATGATCCCATCTCAATAATGTTAGGTATCATGAAAACAATGTCATGAAAAGTTTTTATGAAGATTCTCCATCCTTGGATTGGATTATAGTGTTTGTAGTGTTTTATTGTATGTTATGCATTCACCCTTGGATTAGTTTCATGAAGTTTTTCATGATATTTATTTCATAATACGTAGCATTATCCATCTCGTATTCGGGCCATATGCTGTTGCTTGCAACTGTTCACAAAGAAAAAATTGTTTGGTTGTGAAATTCTGCAAAATACAGTCTCATAGATAACCTTTGCTAGAGAAGCACCAGATTAAGAGCTAATGCTCACTAAATAGCTTATTTATCCCCAAATGCTTCCAACATGGGCAGCAGAATATTACAAGGTACCTCCAACTCCAGATGGTTTGTCAGTCCCATCATGTCTTGGGGGTTCACTTGAGTAAAAAGAATTTGAGCGGGCCAGTTGGCCACGAAAAACCATGGATGAACACATGAATACAAAAGATGCAACTTCTGCAATATATAACCTACACATGGGGCTTTAGTAGAAGTTACATTAGACAATCTTTTGGAGTCTAAACTCGACATGAAACAGAAGGTCGCAGTATAGATCAATAAATCTCTAGTCATTCATTGTAATAATTTCTAGCCCCTACGTAACATTCTTCTTCATTTTCATTTATTTATTGAACAAGCATCTACCCTCGCACTACAAACCAGGATGACAACTAAAAATGCTAAGTCATTTGAAGGGTCATTTGAATCATGAGAAGCACTCATAAATTGGCTATTGGACAAGTAACAATGCATGTGAAGCAAAGGTGGGAATGCTGGGTTCATAATAGCCTATCCCTACGATTATGAATTGAATAGTTTATACCACTATAAATGGCTTCGGACGTGGTAAAAAAAAAGAAGGGTAAGTCAGCAATTCCTCCTTCCTAATTTAGAGAGGAAAAAAAAATGCAAAATTGCTGAAAGAATTGCCAGACTTTTTATTTTTATTTTTTTAACAATTTGAATAAATTTAAAAATAGGAACAATTTACCAAAGTGAAGTGTACACCAATAATTTTGTGTGCAATTGCGAGAGCCCAAAAATGATCAAAGATGTAAATTAGATTTCGAAAGATTGTTTCACGCTGCTCTAGAAAATTGTGTATGCTCATCTATGTACATTTTTCTTCTTTCATCTTCTTCGGTGAATGAGGAGAGTAGGGCTAGGGTTTTGCCGCACCTCAACCCGCCCCATCTAATTAACCCATTATCCAAACCCATCTCGTTTGAGTTGGAGCGGGTCTGGACATTGCCTGTTGGACTTATTGTTTGGTTTTAATTGATTTTTCTAAAATTGAGTTTTTTGTTTTACTTTTAGTAATTTTTTAAATTTTTTTTTTTTTACTTTTTAGATGTACTAACTTACACACATAAAAAGTAAAATCTTTGTAAAAGTATATATTAAAAAATAATAAATACAAAAAAAATGAAAATATACTATATATATATTTTTTGTATTTGATGATTTTGTTAAAGATTTTTTTTTACAACATATTATACTTTTCCTTTATAACATAAATTTGTTTGAATATTATATGGTTGACTTAACTGATAGATTTTGGAAACCGAATTTGAAGGGGAGATTTTGTCGGAGTTTTCGTCGGAGATTTCAGTGGAGATGTTATGGTGGAGATTTCGTCGGAGATTTCAGTGGAGTTGACGAGAAAGATTGCTACGATCGTGTAGATTTTGTTGGAGATTTCGTCGGAGATTTCAGTGTCTTTTCAATTGGCAATTGATTATTTATAATATGAAAATAATTATATTTTAACAATCATAGTCTAGTCTTATAATAGGAGATAAATTATCAATATTATATTTACTAAGAACAATTTTCTTGATAAAGCAATTAGTTTAATTTCTGATCTTCAGTATTGAGCATCTTTTCACTATGAGGATGAAATCAGTTGAAATTTCAATATAAAATACTGTGTTTAATTAAATGAAACAGATATCACAATTAGCTTTCCTAACACAACTTTAAGGTCATGTTTGATTCACAATACTAATAGTGAGGTATTAATAATCCTATCAAATTAGTGTGGTATTAACTATCCCACCCCTACCCCATTACTAATAATCCTACAAATTTGTTGGATTAATTATCCATTGGATTAATAGTCCTAAACTAAAATGTCAAAACAAACATAGGATGATTGGGCCCACGGATTAATAATCCTAATCCCATGCTTTAATCCTTCCAATCAAACATGCCATAAGAGTATTAAACTTCTTATTTTATTCATTTTGGTTTTACATGCTTCAATTCTAGTACACTCAATATCCAACATTAAAATAAGAGACTTGCTAAACACTTATTTTGGAAAGTAAATTAAAAGTCACTTTCTAATTTTTAATCCACTTCACTCTCTCACAAAAAAATTAAAAAAAAGTCAAAAAATAACTTTTAAGCATCTTCTCAAAACACCCTTTATTCTCATGCTAAAGGTAACTCTTCAAAAAAGAAACCAAAAATTCACACCTTCAATTACAACACACTAATAGATAATAGTGAAGTAATTTAACTGAAGCAAATTTTGATTCAAGCGTAGACATCTGGGTTTGCGATCAGATAGTCTTCGACAACCTTGAACATTCCCATGCCCTTGTCCTTTCCGGCTGCCATTTCCTCTTCTTTGAGCTCAATGCCACCCTTGGCATGATAATAGCTTATGCTTGTCACCTTAGTCTCGCATCCATTACCAGTAGGCTCAAACTTAACCTCATAAGAGAGAGATTCCAACTTGTCATCCAATGCATCCCCTTCAATCACAGTGTACTTGCACTTATAGTTCTCAACATCAAGTAAATCAATCTTGTGCTTCAAACACTTCATTGGACTTCCTGCAATAGCACAAAGATAACAATCATTTATTTCAGTATCTCTACTCTCTTTGTTAATTCTATTGTCATTAAATAATAATAAAAAGTAATTTTATGATAAAAAATCATAGCAAGTGCAGAAATTGAGAGATATAGATAAACCAACCTTCAGGGAAGTTGGTTTGCTTGATACTTCCAGCACCACCATCACCTTGAATGTATTCGATGCTCTTGATGGATTGAGGGAGAAGCTTAGGGATGAGATTATGAGAGTCAAGCATCAAAGCCTTGAACATTCTGTTGGCTGCTACTGAGGTGGTGAACTCTTGGGTATAAGTAGTGACACCCATTTTTTTTTTTAATTTTTTATCCTAAAGGAATGAATGTATAAAGTGGTGTAATGTGGCAAATGAGAATCACAGTAGGTTGTGGTGGGTTGTGAAGAAGTGCATTAAGACATGGGTATTTATAGACTGGGAACAGAGGCATCTTTTGGTTGGGTATAGTATATTCTTCTTCTTCTAGTTGTCCATATAAAATTCAATAGTCATAGCACTCCAATGTAGAATAATATATAGCTCTCTGTAGCCTTCTTGACCCATTCTTCTCTTATCCATATTATGTCACATATTCAACCGTCTTAGCCCACCTTGTAAGATGATTGGCCATTTACTTCTTGTCCTGACTTTTATATTCTAGAGTCATTACAGCTCAACAATTCAGCTTTTCTCATTAGGTAGTATTGGGGCAATATTTTATATGACACTAGTCATTTTGTTTTTCAAAATCAATACAAAAATATTCGAATCCACTATTTTGATATAGACTTGTGCCAGGAGAATCATATAATTTTGGAGAAACTATCAATAAGTGAAAGGTTGGAGAAATATTTACCAAAATGTGAGAATTTTTTTAAGGTGCAAGTTTTACTTTATATATATATATATAGGGAAAGAGTTGCAGGCCACATTTTATATATAATAATTGTAGTCAAACAAGCTTATTTGTAAATTTTCCAATAATTTTCCCCTATGTTAACAGCAACTGTATCCATCATGACTTCATTTTTTCCTGCATCTTTTGTGTGCAATGGTTGATTCACACCGGTAGATTTTTGGCTGATTGTAGAGGTGTTTGTCCAGGGGGAGTTGTTACCCATTAGAATTTTAAGTCCATTTCCTAATTTGTGTATTTTTTTACTACTAGCTTTCTATTGTCACTTTCCTAACATGAGATTAGATGAGAGCTATGAAATTGGATCTAAAATTTGCTCAACATCAAAAGTGGGTGATATCATTGAATCCAGATTTATTGAATTTGGAATCACAACTGTCCTGTGGAAGAATGTTAAACCTCACTGAAAAATATGGAGAAATGGTTCATAATCTCATGAGAAAAATGAAGGAAGAGAGAATGATTGGGATATTTTCAATTTTATTGCTCCAGTTGGAACTCTAAATTCAACAACTGTAAATTCATTTCATTGTGGTAATTGAAACTTCTAAATTTTAATGTCCGTTTGTCAGAATTCTTGTACCTCGCTAGGAGACAAGTGTTTTTTAATGTCTTCTCCATGATTTTTTTTGAGTTTCTCACTCACATCTTTTGATTTATTTGAATTAATTGGATGCTATAATTGATTTATATTGTGATTGCATTAATTAAAATAAACTTATAATGCTAAGGACATATTCCCTCAAGCATTTAGAAGTCAATTTAGAGTTGCACAATAAATCAATTTTCAGAGGAAGGTAATTTTCCTACGTAAGAATCACTTCTTCACCCATGAAGAACTTAGGTTGAGTCTTAGGCCTCGTTTGGAAAGTAATAGTTTTATCTTAAAAGTCAAAAAGTTATTAAAAAAAATTAAAAAGTCTATAACTTATAGCAAAAAGTTAAAGATTTCTTTTTTTCTTTACTTTTTGTATATCTTTTCGTAAAAAATTAAAAAATTATTTCAAATATACAATTTTTTTATCTTATATTTTAACTAAAAATTAAAAAGTTACTAAAATAATTTATTTCTAAACGAGGGCTTAATATCCTATTTCATCTAATATGTGATGCTATCAAGTGGTAACATGTATATTGAGTTTGCCTAATGTTTCTTGAGTCGACAACAAAGATGTTTTTAAAAATAGATATTGTGCAATATTTTTTGATATTAAATTAAATAAATATTGAGAGGGTGATTTATGCTCCGGCGTTGGGCCGAGGTATAAACCGAACAGGTTGAGGGCCCAGCAGAGCATTGGGCCGAGATGATCGACTGTTCACCCGGAGATGGGCTACCAGAACTTGGGCCGGGCAGAGTTTGGACTGTGTGCTGCCCCGAACCGTGCAGAAGATGCTCGGCCAGGAAGTGACCGGTCAGACCGGGATGCTCGGTCCGAGGATTGTCGAGATCAGACAGACCGAGAGGCCGGCGCTCGGAAAGGCGCGGTCAGCCGAGGTAGTTGACTGACCGGCGAGAAGACCGACCAAAGGAGGAGCCCGGGCTAAGCTTTGCCGAGATGCCGCCTAGCCCGGTCCTTCATTCGGCTACCCGGTCAGGCGCTTAAGGTATGAAGCATGGTATGACCGAGGTAGGGCAGCTCGGCTGCCGAGCTCCAGCTATGCTGGCAGGCAGTTGAGAGCAGGTGATGAACGGCATGGTTTAAGCTGACAGATGGAATAGCAGAGCCACGTGTCAGGAGATGACAGGGAGTGGATATGGGGCACAGAAGGTATATAAGCCTGTCTGCGCCCCCCATACGAAACACTCTGTAAGAAAATCCTTACACTCAAACACTCTCTCCCTTCTCTCTATTCCCTCTAAGGTGTGTGCTAACTTGACCGTCGGAGGGTTTTTCCGGCCACACACCGCCGGGTAGCTCACCATTACTTGCTCGCAGGTGATCGGACATCGACGGAGCACGGAAGAAAGGAGTACGGGCTTGCCGGAATATTTGCTCCCCGTACAATTGGCGCCGTCTGTGGGAAGCTTGACAGACAAAACCTTGTCTTCCAGGTTCATCTGATCGCCGTCCATGGCGAACAACGACGAGTTCCCGTTGTCCGCCATCGATGGAGCCACCCCGGAGTATACCCGAAGGAGAGAGGGACCACCTGCCGTCCATCCAATGGCTGACTTGGGGACGCCCACTGGAGGACAGTCAGGAGACGCGCGGGATAAGCGCGGAAGGAGTCATGGGCATTCACGGAGTCCAGACGGTCACCGGCGGAGAGACTCACACGCCAGGCGACTGGAAAGCAAGTTAAGGGACCAAGACGCTGTCATCAGGCGGTCCAGTTCCAAGATTGTAAACTTCACAACCTGCAGTGACATCAATAATGAAGCAAATATAATGATACCTAACCACATCATTCAAGAATTTTCTTGCCAGCTTTTACATTCATATAATACTAAACAACTTTTAGACTCAACCAACATTACACTTGTGCAAACACATAAGCATGCAACATGCATAGAAAAGCATAATTGAGGCAGAGATAAAGTTTCAGAGGTGCCCTAGCCCCCAATATATATTTTTAAAAAATTAAAATGGCCATTCCTGAGTTAGCCTTGATCTCAATATTCCTACACTGCCTGGTCACTTGAAGTCTAATAACTCAATCAAGTCCATAGAACAGTAAATAATAGCGAAAATCTCCATCTAAAAGAGTTCAAGAAATGGCGCTCATGCAACTTGAAGGAATCTTAATGTCCTTGACATTTAATATTGGTTTTAAAATATAAAACTCCCAAGGTAATGATTTGTCAAATGGATATTTAACATTGACTTGTTAAAAAATAACACAATTTATTCCTTCTTTTTGGTAAAAATAAGTGAGCCCAAATATGAAATGATATTTTGAAAGGTGTAATATTGACAAAGGAAAAGCCAATGAGGACATTGATCTGGGAAAGGTGTCAAGACTTGGTTGTGTATAATTCATTTAAAAATACAAACTTTTTACATTGACAAACAATAGATCAATAGCAAGCTCCCAAAGGACTACACACCGCATATAGATGGGAGAAGTAAACATTTCAAGAGGAAAAAAAAGGTTGAAGAATATTTGGTGTTCTCTGAAGTATTTTACTGCATTCCCATTGCTTATTGTTTGTAGCTGAAATAGTGCTCCAGAAATTTGCATAACAGTTTCCTCTTCATGTGTTCTAACTATTCAAACATCTCCTAAACAAGTTGATCAATTTCCCATACGTCACAGAAGTTAAAAACTTTATGTCATGCACTTATCCTGTCTGTCAACAATCATGTTTTTACTTTCAATAACGCAGCATAACTAGAACTGTTACTCTAATACCACTAGCTCTTGCACAAGCCTGCTCCATCTAATATTTATTCTATAGTATAGACTAGTGGAAAAAGAACAACTTCATCTACTGAAACAGACACTTGAATCAAAGGGAAGATGACAATATCAGAGCACAGACCTATAGAAGGATCAGATAACTTGTTCAATGCAGCAATATGCCCATCAGCCAAATCCTGGACATGAATGTAGTCACGTACCTGAACATTGGAACAAAATAGGCGCCATCAAAATACAGTCTTGATTAGATGTGGAAAATCTAAAGAGAGAATACAACCCCAAACCACTCAGATCCCAAATTTCCAATAGTGCAAGAGGACTGATACTCACTATGAGCTAAAGTCATATAAATCATTCATGAAAATATACAAAGTCTCAATTTTTTATTTTTTTATTTTTTTTTAAATTAACCAACAAGAAAAAGCTTCCAAATAAGCAACATAGTCATGAAAACAGGGATTCCAGCTAAATTTGTAATACCAATGCATTTTACACCACACAACTAATAGTTGGTTATAGATGACTATTAGCCATCACAAACACAGGTCAAGCATGCTTGCCCATGGAATTTGAAATCGTGAGTCTAAAACAAGCAAACAACCAAGTTGAAACAAAGGGGAAAAAAATGCTGAGAATGAAGAAAATATACCCCTGTACCATCCTTTGTAGAGTAGTCATTTCCAAATACAGTAAGTGCAGGTCGCCTACCAACAGCAACTTGTTGCACATAAGGCATGAGATTGTTTGGTATACCATGAGGATCCTCACCAATATAACCACTAGGATGTGCACCAACAGGATTGAAGTATCGCAGCAATATGATTTTCCATTTGGTGTCCGAGAGGTGGGTATCACGGCATATTTCTTCAATGAAGAGCTGAAAGTACCAACCACATTAGTAAAATAAGTAGATCCTATAATGATGATTCTTGATAATAATAATAATAATAATAATAATAATAATAATAATAATAATAATAAAGGGGAGAGGGAGAGAGGGAGAGAGGGAGAGAGAGAGGGGGGGGGAATGCAGAAGTATTTTGCATGTGACCACAAAGTAAAGCACAAAGAAAATACGCTGAAAGTTCTAAAATAATATAGGTACTTGAAGTTCTTTATTTTTTCATATCCAATCATCTATCAGTTTCTTTGGTAACCAAGCTCTCAGTTCATGTGCATGATATCATTGCTCAAAATATACCTTGGTTCGTCCATAAGGGTTTGCTGCAGAGAGGGGAAACTCCTCTGTGCACGGTACCACCTTTGGCCAACCATAAACTGTAGCTGATGATGAAAACACAAGCTGAAATGCAGCAGTTTATCATGGGAACAACTTTAGTCAACTCACCCAAATTGAAATCAGCTGATAAAATTAAATCACAACGTGAAGAAAACTCAAGACTGAAAAATAATATTAACAGCATAGAATTAGACAACTTATTTGTTAGAGAAAGAGTCAGAACTTAGTCCTGTTAGTTTATTTAATCAATGACCATATCTAAAGTGCTAAAATAGTCCTGCACTTAAATAAGAAATACTTAGAAACCTGGTAATGGAGGGCTTTTGTTTTACATATAGTTTAATAAAAACATATTACATCCCTACTCGCATAGGTAATGAGGTTGCTTTAATGATCACACTAAATAAATTGAAGTTTCCCAGTGATGCAAAGATGAACAATTGAAAATAGTATGAATGGATTAATTCAACCAGGAAACAAAGAACATTTGATCAAAGAGAGGAGACACTTAGTCCTCAAGTCGAAGAATAAGAATAAAATAAAATGAAGAACAAATTATCTTCCTCTTTCGTGGAAACGGTATGCACTTGCATATCTAAACAGGCCTTATTAACCATTAAGTTAGCCCGCAACGTGATGTAGTAAAATGTGCTCGGGAGGGTTTCAGTAATTGCATACTTCACAAACATTAACGATGTTCATGCTATATATTGCTCGAACACACAATTGCTAAACACTCACTCCATCCTAACAATCAACTTAATGTTGGCCACTAAACAGTGTGATATTTAGACAGTCCATGTAAAGTCTATTTAAAAGACACAGTGGACAAGCATGAAGATACCTTATTGGGTCAAAAATCACAATTCAGTTAATACATAAAGTAAAGGTTCCTAGTACTTGGCGTGCATGATCTTAGTAGTTCAGTCACTGAGTAAAAATTCTCTGCGGTGTAAAGTGCAATTCGTCAATAGTTAGTTAACTCTACGCTACCTATAATAGCTCAGTGTAACTCATAATAACACCATCAAATATAACAGAAATAAATAACCTTGTTGGCTGCAAGATTTTCAAAAGCTTGTTTTTTTTTTTAA